AGGCTCAAGGGCCAGGCCAATTATGTGGAGACTTAGTGTCTTCTGGGTCTTAAAACTGTTTTCTTATAAAGTATTATCTATTGGGGGCTGGCAGGTGGCATGGTGGTTAAGGGCACTGGACTCTCACATGACTGACCGTGGTTTCAGTCCTGGACCTGGTGGCTGGCTTTCTCACTTGTGCTCTCTCTCTCTCTGTCTCTGTCTCTCTCTCTCACGTCAAATTGAAATAAATTTAAAAAAATACATACAGTTGAGGGACCAGCAGTTAGCATAATGGCTATGTCACTGGACTCCCACGTGGTCGACCGCGGTTCGAATCCTGGACCTGGTGGCTTAAAACTCACGCCGGGCACGTGTGTGTGCGTGCCCAAGATCACAAGAGGAGAATGGAGGAGAAGGGATTGCGGTGTGGCCATCCCCACTGGGAGGTGATTTCTCACTTTCTGTCTCTCTGTCTCTCTCTCTGTCTGTCTGGTGAGCGCACGCGCCCTACAGTGAAAATCTCTCCAAAAAAAAAAAAAAAACAGTTGAATAAAAATAATTCTTTTTTTAAAAAAAAATGAAATAATATCTCTTTACAGAAATACACTGAATTTGAATGTACATCACCACTCTGGGTGTAGAAATTAAAATGTCAGCCTCTTGGGGCCAGCAGGTGGCATGGTGGTTGAGGGTGCTGGACTCCCACATGGCCAACTGTGGTTTGAGTACTGGACCCGGTGACTTGCTTTATCAATCCCCACCCCCCATTCTGTCCCTCTCTGGTCTAATTTGAAGAAAGAAAGTTAAATCTTTTTTTTTTAAATGCCAGCCTCTCAAGAATGCCCAAATAAATAAATAAAATGTTAGATAAAATAATTCTTTAACGCCAGCCTCAAGAGCGCCAGGGCCCCTGCAGTCACAGCTCCCTCCCTTCCCATCCTGCTGCCCCGGAGCCGCCTCCTTGCCTTTCGTTCTAGTTGTACCTCCTGCACTGGCACCTGGTGGGGTTTGTACCTCACTGTCCCGTTGCACACTGGTGGTGTACCTGGCCGTCTGCCATGCTGTGTGGAGTGCTCTGCCTGCCTGCGCCATGTTTCTGGGCACACCACGTGGTAGGTAGCACCGTGTGCTCACGGCACTTCCCCACCCAGGTTACCTGAGGAGGCACACCACCGACGGGTGTTTGAGATGGTGGAGGCGCTACAGGAACACCCACGAGACCCCAGCCAGATCCTGATCGGCTACAATCGGGGCCTTATTGTCATCTGGGACCTGCAGAGCGGCCGTGTGCTCCAGCATTTCCTCAGTAGCCAGGTAGGTGGTGTCTGGGAGGGTGGCAGGTGCCTCGTGGCTCCCTGGCTGCCACGTGGCCCATGCGCTGCCCGTGCCAAGGAGCAGGGCTGCTTGGTCCCAGCCTGCCGCTCTGTCCTCCTCCTCTCCAAAGCAGCTGGAGAACGTCTGTTGGCAGCGGGACGGCCGCCTGATCGTCAGCTTCCACCCCGCCGGCAGGCCCCTCCACAGGC